CAGCCTCCCAAAGCTCCGGGTTCCTCGCCTCTTCTTTGCATCTTCTTCTGTTCCTTGGTTCCTGTGTTTCTTGCCTTCCTGGCTTCCCTGTTCCTTAGTGTACTGATCTTCGCAGAGAACCTGCTGGGCCTCAGAAGCTGGGTGGGGTTTCACCTAGGTAAATTACCATATCCTGGAGCACCCTCCAGCAGTGTTTTCTCAGGACCTGGGGAGTTGGAGTCAGTGCATTTGCAGGGAGGATAAAAAAGTAAAACCGTTTACTGAGCTTGCTCCCCAGAGAATAGCCCTGTCTAAATCTCCAAATGGTGAAATTGGCTGAAAATGACCATGGAGGTAAGTCTTGGGTGGGGGGCCAGAAGAGCAGCAAACTGAGAAAGACCTGGGGTGATGGTGGAATCAGGGTGGGGCAGCCAGGGCTGCAGGTTTGGATTTATGAGTTAGTCCCTCTTTCCTTCTTCTTTCCCACCTAACCCCCGAGACTAGTCAGCTGTGCTGCCATGGCATGGCCAATTCTAACTCCACTGCTGTCTGCTCCTGGATAAACGAAGGCTGGGCCCTGCTCTAATATGGAAGGAAAATTTTAAAAGAAACGTGGAATGCCCAGCTGTGACTTCCAAAGCAGTGCTCCAAATGCATGGAACATTCCATCTTTCAGGAGGGGAGGTGCGCTCTGTAAGGTCAATGTTTAGGATTCCCTGTGTAAAATGTTTCTTGGACCGTTCTGGAACATAATATTACAGAAAGATCTATTTTATAGAGAGGAAACCATGAACACTGTAATTTCAAGAATACCTCGATTGGGCTCAGTGGTTCACACCTTTATTCCCAACACTTTGGGAGGTCGAGGTGATCGAGGTGAGTGGATCACTTGAGGCCAGAAATTTGAGACCAGCTTGGCCAGTATGGTAAAAACCCATCTCTACCTTAAAACGAAACAAAACAAAACACAAAGACCTCTATGTATTCCTTTAGTTTAAATTACTAACCCTCCCATGAAATATAAGCAAATCTCAGGAGCCATAATAGATTGACCTTTATGAGTCCTTTTTGGCTTCAAATCATACCAGACCTCACTCGTAACCTCCACACCCCCCGACCCACATTCCCACCTGCAACGCTATGCTCTTCCAGCCCTTCCTGCCTGGGAGCTTTGGAGCTTACTCTTTTCTTCTGCCTGGGATGCTCCTCCCTCTCTTAAAAAGCTAACTCTCAGTTCTCCAAAACCCAGGCAATGTCACTCACTGTTCCAAATCTGTTTTCCAAGGCATGCTTAGTTTACCTGGGGGTTCCCTGACCACTCCCCATCTCTTGGTTCTCGTCCCCATCGATCAATGGCATACAGGTCCATCTTCCCACCAGGTTAAGATCCCATCAAAGACAAGAGCTGTGTCTTATTCACCGTTGAGTCTTTTGCATTTAGAACATAACTGGCCCACAGTAGATTCTTTAAAATTATTTATAGAATGAATGAATTATTTACTGCCAACATGTTTCAGTGGGGTGGTGGTGCAGGGTTGGGGTAGAGAAAGTATGAAAATGCAAAGAGAAAAAGGAGCCGGTGTGCAAAGGAAGGAGGTGGGGGTCACTAGAAGGTGGGAACAGCTTTGCAAATGGCTATCCCCTTTTGAAGGCATGCTAAGTTTTCAAGTAACTCTAATTGACAGCTGTAATCTAAGATGTGTTGACACACTGGATGCACTTGCCAAAGTCATGTTTAATGGTTTATATCTCACAGTGAAATGGGGCAAAGTTAAAAACTCATATGGCTTTGGATGTGTATCTATTACCATCTGTTGGTTCCCGGATCCTGGGTTACATCATTCTTATTTTTATGTTAAACATTACCAGCAATAAAAAACAGATAGAGGGCGGGGCGAGGTGGCTCACACCTGTAATCCCAGCACTTTGGGAGGCCGAGGCAGGTGGATCACGAGGTCAAGAGATCGAGACCATCCTGGTCAACACGGTGAAACCCCGTCTCTACTGAAAGTACAAAAATTAGCTGGGCATGGTGGCGCACGCCTGTAGTCCCAGCTACTCGGGAGGCTGAGGCAGGAGAATTGCTTGAACCTGGGAGGCGGAGGTTGCAGTGAGCCGAGATCGCGCCACTGCACTCCAGCCTGGTGAAGGCATGAGACTCTGTCTCAAAAAAAAAAAAAAAAAAAAAAAAAGATAGAGAAAGGTAGAGGGGCAGGGGGTGGGGGCACTCACATAGGGGAGGATATTTTGATTGAACGCAGGCTTGACAGAATCTTATTTTCTTCTTCGAAATCCTAGAAAACAGAAAACAACAGGAAGATGTCTTATTGGAAAATACCCCCAACAATTTCACCATGAGTCAAACAGGGAAGAACAATTCCTCAGAAGGAGAAACTAAGCCCCAGACTTCATTTGTCAACACATTTCTCAGGGGCTCCAAAGCTGAAAGCAGAGAAGAGAAAAATGACCTTCAAACAACCGATTCCCAGCCGGGTGACTGTATACAGAAGACAGCCACCTCAGACACTGGTAAGCTGCTGGCTGCTGGTGTTTTGCTGTTGTATTTGTTTTGTTTTGTTTTTACTTTCAGATTTAAAACATTTTTATTTTTAATTTTTTCTGGGTGCATAGTCGGTACCTGTGTTTATGGGGTACATGAGCTGTTTCAATACAGGCATGCAATGCGTAATAATCACATTGTGGAGAATGGGGTATCCATCCCCTCAAGCATTTATCTTTTGTGTTACAAACAATTCGATTATACTTTTAGTTATTTTTATTTATTTATTTATTTATTTGAGACAGAGTTTCACTCTTGTTGCCTAGGCAGGAGTACAATGAGTTGCTGTGAGTGTCCCAGCTCATAGCAACCTCTGCTTCCAGGATTCAAGTGATTCTCCTGGCTCAGCCTCCCACGTAGCTGGGATTACAGGTGTGCACCACCACACCCAGCTAATTTTTGTATTTTTAGTAGAGACGGGGTTTCACCGTGTTGGCCAGGCTGGTCTCGAACTCCTGACCTCAGGTAATCCTCCTGTCTTGGCCTCCAAAAGTGCTGGGATTAAGGTGTGAGCCACCACACCCAGCCTCTTTTAGTTATTTTTAAATGTAGACTATTTGCACATTTAAAAATAACTAAAAGAGCATAACTGGATTGTTTGTAACACAAAGAATATAGTCACCCTGTTGTGCTATCAAACAGTAGGTCTTATATATTCTAACTATTCTTTCTGCACCCGTTAACCATCCCCACCTGCCCCACAACACACACACACCCTTCCCAGCCTCTGTATTTCTTTATTTTTCAGAGTTTTCCTCTAATGTGACCTTATGGGTTAAACTAAAGACTTTAAGACTTTTGAGACTAAAGATTCTAACTCTGAGTTTCTGTGCTAAGCATTTATTATGTTGCTTAAATGCTTTAAATGATTCATAATTTTACTTTTAAATGACTAAAAGCAATGTAACACTACAGAAAGGTTCAGGGAAAATACCTAATTTTCTTTCATTATAACACAAATAATCGTTTCTTTAAGATTATTTTCAGTCTTTTTTTCATGTGTATGAATTTATGTTCTGTCAGCCAGCAGTCAACAAATATTTGTTGAGTGTTTACTATGTGGTAATCCCTGCTCTAAGTGTTAGAAATACAGCCATGAAAAAAACCAAACGCAGATATAACTTCAGGTGGTGATAAGTGCTATGAAGAAAAATAATGCATGCTAAGGAGACAAAGAATGATGGGACAGAGATGGGGGTGGAGGAAAGAAGTCTTCAATTTGGTGGCATTTGAGCAGCAATCTGAATAAAATCAGCTTTGTGGAATGAATGAATGAATGAATAAATGAATAAAGCCAGCCACTTAGGTATTTGTGGAAATAGCTTCAGGCAAAGGGACTGCACATGCAAAGGCCCCAGATAGGACTGAGCCTAGAGTGAGAGAGAGCCAGGAAGTCAGGGGTACTGAAGCAGGATGGGAGACGTGGAGAGGAAGTGGGTGGTGGAAGACAAGTCAGAGAGGTCGCTGGGGCCAGATTGGCATCTTTTGCACAGCTGTAATAGCTTACAGATGCCCCCTGAGTGTATGGGGCTGTGATCCTACTTCTGGAACATATTATTATATTGCTCAATTCCCACATTGCTGCATGATGCTCAGATGTATAATTTTCATGTTTGCATAATATTCCATTACATTCATATGTCTTAATTACTCAATGAGTTCCTTGTTTGCCCTTCAGCGAGTGTCTTTGGCTTTCCTTCTTTCCCATTCACTGTTTTACTGTATTTTAGCTATTTTTGAAGTACAAATTTCCAGAACAGGAATTGCAAATTCAAGGGTTATGAAAATAAATGATGTCAAATCCCTCTCTAAAGTTATGTGTTATGTGCAATGTCATCAATATATTATGTATTAGGTTTAAAGAATTTTTAAAACATTTTAAGCATATGCAAAAATAGAACAAAGAATCCCCATGGTCACCTACCTTTAATGATTATTAGTCAGGCATAGTGGCTCATGCCTGTAATCCCAGCACTTTGGGAGACTGAGGCAGGAGGATCACTTAAGGCCAGGAGTTCAAGACCAGCCTGGACAGCATAGCTAAACCCCATCTCTAGAAAATAGTTTATAATTAGCTGGACATGATGGTGTGTGCCTGTGGTCCAGCTATTCTGGAGGCTGAGGTACAAGGATCGCTTGAATCTTGGAGGTCGAAGCTGTGGTGAGCCATGATTGCACCACTGGACTCCATGCTGGGTGACAGAGCGAGACCCTTAAAAAAAAAAATCAATCCATGGCCGATTTTATTTCTTCTTTTTTTTTTTTTTCCTGAGACACAGAGTTTTGCTCTGTTGCCTGGGCTGGAGTGCAGTGGTGCAATCCCAGTTCACTGCAACTTCTGCCTCCCAGGTTCAAGCGATTCCCCTGCCTCAGCCTCCCAAGAAGGTGTAACTACAGGCATGTGCCACCACACCTGGGTAATTTTTTGTATTTTTAGTAGAGACGGGGTTTCACCTTGTGGGCCAGGCTGATCTTGAACTCCTGACCTCAGGTGATCTGCCTGCCTTGGCCTCCCAAAGTGCTGGGATTACACACGTGAGCCACTGTGCCTGGCCAATTTTATTTCATTTATACCTGCCCTCCCTTCCATCAGACTGTTTGCCATTAAATGCCAAAAATAATATAGTTTTAGTGGTAAGTAAATTAAATGTATTTTAAGTATGTTTTTATAAATAGGAAATTAAAGTCTTTAAAAGACCATCTCTATCAGAAAAGTGTTCATTTTTGTTCTAGAGTGTGATTTAGAGCATCAGGAAAAAGGTTAATGAATAAATGTAATCGTCATTAAATTAACAGTGCAAAACCAAGCCATGGCCATCCCTGCAATGCAACACCGGCCGCCCATGCTGCTTGGTTCCTCATTTCTATTTCTTTCAAAATTCAGTGGCTCCTAAATGCATGTTCATTCTGTTCCCAAATAGCTATCCCACCTGGTTCTTCCTCTCCATTGCTGCTGTCTAGCTCTCATTGTCTCTTGTCTGGACCACAGCAATAGCGTTCTAACTGGTTTCTCTGCTTCTAGTCTTGCTCTCTTGCCAGTCTGTCCTCCACACTGCCATAGTGCTCTTTCTATTTCTTTTTTTTTTTTTTTTTTTGTGAGACAAAGTCTTGCTGTGTTCACCAGGCTGGAGTGCAGTGGTGCGATCTCGGCTCACTGCAACCTCCACCTCCTGGGTTCAAGTGATTCTTCTGCCTCAGCATCCCGAGAAGCTGGGACTACAGGTGTGTGCCACTATGCCTAGGTAATTTTTGTATTTTTAGTAGAGACGGGGTTTCACCATGTTGGCCAGGATGGTCTTGATCTCTTGATATCATGATCCGCCCGCCTCGGCCTCCCAAAGTGCTGGGATTACAGGCGTGAGCCACCGCACCCGGCCCATAGGGCTCTTCCTAAACCACAGATACAGCATTATCTCTTACCTGCTTAAAATCCTTCCCCGAGACTCTCCTGCCTTGAAGAGAATGTCTATATTCTCTCTATATTCTCTGTATATTCTATATGACTGACTTATTGTCACTGAAGTGTGCAACCATACACTGCACGCCTCCACTTCTCATCTACATGGGAACTGTGGTTTTCTTGCTGTCTCCTTCACTAGACAGGCAGCTCTTTGAAAACAGGAACTTGTTATCTTGGTTCCTGATACAGTACCACCTGTTACCAATGTGTAATAATGTTTAATGAGTATCAGGTGTTTTGGTTGACAAACCTTGACAGGCTTCAGTTGGAAAGGAACTTGTGAGAAGGCACTAAGAGCCAAGAGCTTTGTTCAGAGCTAACCCAGCTAGAAAAAGGCCTGAATCTCCACAGAGCTGCTCTGTGTGGTTGCTATTGCCCCCGCACCCACCGTGCCTCCCACTCCACTCCAGCCTAGCTGCAGCAGCTGACTTACCTGCTCTACATGCTGAGCTGTGACGTAAGGTATCCTGTGAAGAGAAGGTTTCATAGATTTTTTTTTTTTTTTTTTTTTTTTTGAGACAGAGTCTTGCTCTGTTACCCAGGCTGGAGTGCAGTAGTGCAATCTTGGCTCACTGCAGCCTCTGCCTCCTGGTTCAAGAGATTCTCATGCCTCAGGCTCCCTGGTAGCTGGGACTACAGGCGTCCACCACTACACTTGGCTAATTTGGTTTCATAGCTTTTTTTTTGTTTGTTTTGTTTTTTTAATGTAGTCTTGCTGTGTCGCCAGGCTGGAATGCAGTGGCACAATCTCGGCTTACTGCAACCTCTACCTCCAGGGTTCAAGCGATTCTCCTGCTTCAGCCTCCTGAGTAGCTGGGATTATAGGTGCACATCAGCATGCCCAGGTAATTTTGGGTTTTTAATAGAGACGGGTTTTGCCATGTTGGCCAGGCTGGTTTTGAACTCCTGACCTCAGGTGACCTACCGGCCTCGGCCTCCCAATGTGCTAAGATTATAGGCATGAGCCACCATGCCCGGGCAGGGTTTCATAGATAAAAAATATTGAAATACATGGTCTGTGAAATGTCCAGGGCTCTCATAAGTTAGTACTCATATTTAGATGTTTTGATAAAGATTTATCACGATGATTTATTTTGGTATTGAGGAACTATAAAACCAATATTTATTCATTCAATTATTTGCTCATTGAACAAATATTTACCAAATACCTCTCAGGTAAAAGGCCCTGCAGATTCCATGTCCATGGGAGGGTTCAGAAAGTTTAAATCACGATGCTCTTGAGAAATAAACCACGCATTTCATAGGTGAGTAAACCAAGGCTCAGAGAGGTTAAATGACTTGTTGCTCGGACAGACAGGTGACTTGAACCAGGTCTTTGGACTGTGCTGCCTACTTGTCAGTTACATCAAACATGACAGAGCACCCAGTGGGATGTGGACTGTGGAGAGATTTCCGCATCTGTCAGTTCATAGTTTATTGTTGGTGACCTTTGAGAAACTATCTGGACAGAGGAGTGTAGCAACCAGACAGTACAGGGAAGGAGTTGGGCCCGCAAGTGTAAACCACTCTTTCCAAACATTTAACAGTGAGGGAAATGCTTGACAGAGCAGTGTCTTGAGGAGAAAACAGAAGAGTGGGTTTGGCGGGGCTGGAATTTGAACATGATCGTAGGTTGGGGTAAAAAGCTTAAAAACAAGGGCCGGGCGTGGTGGCTCACGCCTGTAATCCCCGCACTTTGAGAGGCCAAGGCAGGCGGATCACGAGGTCAAGAGATGGAGACCATCCTGGCCAACATGGTGAAACCCCGTCTCTACTAAAAAATACAAAAATTAGCTGGGCATGGTGGTGCACACCTGTAGTCCCCAGCTACTCGGGAAGCTGAGGGAGGAGAATTGCTTGAACCCAGGAGGTGGAGATTGCAGTGACTGAGATTGCACCACTGCACTCAAGCCTGGCGCCTGGAGACAGAGCGAGACTTTGTCTCAAAAGAAAAAAAAAAAAAAGCTTAAAAGCAAATGAGAGACTGCAATAAGATGCAATGCAGAGAAATCTTTAAATACGGAAATAAAACACATACACCACGGGCTTTGGAACAACTATTCCGGGTTCAAATTCAGGCTCTGCTTCTTCCTAATTAATCATGTCTCAAAGTCTCCAAATCTATGAAATTGTTTGCGACTCCTTTAGACAAAATGTCTTGTACTTTGCCAGCACCTAAACGGCAGTCCCTCCGTGTCTCCCATCCACAACTCTGCTCTGCTCAACCCAAAATTAGGGTTTCCAGAGAAAATACATCCAGTAGTTGAGTCATACTATAAAACGATTCCTTATTGATTTGAAATTTAAGCCTGAGCACGGTGGCTTATGCCTGTAATCCCAGCACTTTGGGAGGCCGAGGCGGGCAGATCACCTGAGTTCAGGAGTTCAAGACCAGCCTGGCCAACATGGTGAATCCCATCTCTACTTAAAATAAATACACAAAAAATAAATTAGCCAGACATGGTGGTGGGCGCCTGTAATCTGAGCTACTTGGGAGGCTGAGGCAGAGGAATTGCTTGAACCTGAGACGCAGAGGTTGCAGTGAGCCGAGAACTCACCATTACACTACAGCCTGGATGACACAGTGAGACTCCATCTCGAAAAAAAAAAAAAAGCAAAAAAAGAAATTTAAATTTAACTGGGCATCCTGTTGTTTTTCCTAAATCTGGCAACTCTGCCCAAAATTAAATACCTTGTGTCTAACGTGCCATAAAAATGGGAGAGTGGAAAGGTTAAATGGTGGCTATTGCTGCCTCCTACTGGTGAAATGTGGTAATAACACCAATCATTCCAACAAAGACTAGTATCCTACAAACGGTTTTCTTAGAACAAACAGAAAGCCAAAGACTGCTGTGGATTAGAGGTATAGTTTTTATTATCCTGCTAATCATTTGGTTTAAATGCATTACTACTGCAATCCTACTATCTTTTAATTTTCACTGGTACCAATGCATTTCTTCTTAGCTATGTGGTCTTATACCTTTTTGTCAGGGCTAATAAGATATTACTGCACATTCCAGAACTTATGATTTTTTCTTGGATTTCAATATATGTAGCTATATGTTTAAAGTTGTATATTTCACTTACAAAACCACTTTAAAATTACTGAGTACATGTATATTCATTTTTCCTTATAAAAGTATGATGTATTTCATGTATGTCTTAAATGCTGGCACCTGGCCAGGCATGGTGGCTCATGCCTGTAGTCCCAGAACTTTGGGAGGCCAAGAGAAGATGGATCACCTGAGGTAGGAGTTCGAGACCAGCCTGGCCAACATGGAAACCCCGTCTCTACTAAAAAATACAAAAATTAGCCATGCGTGGTGGCGGGTGCCTATAGTCCCAGCTCCTTGGGAGGCTGAGGCAGGAGAATAACTTGAACCTGGGAGGCAGAGGTTGCAGTGAGCCGAGACTGTGCCACTGCACTCCAACTTGGGTGACAGAGCAAGAATCCATCTCAAAAAAAAAAAAGAAACGAAAAAAAGATGGCACCTACAAGTAGTCAAAGAATGAGTACATAGTAGGTGCTTAATAAAATGATAGTTTTTATTATTATAGTGCTATCATATTATTATAGTGTTATTACAGAGGAAGCTGGTGAGGGTGCCACAGTAACAAGAAGGAAGGACAAGCAAGGCTTTCCAAATGTACTTGCTGGTAGGAGTTGAGAAAGAGCAAAAGCTCTCCAAGGCCTACTTTCTCTGGATTTGTGTTTACCAATTAAATGGTCTAAGAACTGACCGGCAAGAATTCCGCTCTGTGGAGCCATTTGAAGCTCATTGATGGTGATTTCGATGTTTTCCCCTCTTCACCTGCTTGGTTTTAGGAGACAAGTATCTCTGCTTCCTCCCTAGCAGTTGCATCCACCAAAGCTATGTGTGCCCTTCGAGTAAGCAAGCATCTCAAAAGCTGGGCTGGGAGGTTTGCTTCTCACCCAGGAATGCAGCTCTGTCTGTCTTCATGCTAAGTCCAGGTCAGGTCATGATAGAAAAGCCACTGAGTTCCTTGGCTCCTTGAAGCAGTGTCTGGGCACCTGGTGGCAGGAACAGAGGCTAATTAAGCTTTGTCCCCAGTAAATGGCTCTACCTCTGAGTTGAAGTTTTTCTAACAGGCCAGTTCAGAGTTGTGCAGTCTTTTCACTTGTCTGATTGTGCTCACTATGCATCTTTCATACATCCATCAACAGCAAATTATTTTTTATGCTTATCACACAGCTAAGCCTCTGAGTTCAGAAATGGAACTGAGATCCAGTATGGAGGAAAATGAGCGGTTCCTGCAGAAGCTGGGCAAAAAGGCTGTTGACAAGTGTCTAGATTTGAATAACTGTGGATTAACAATGGCAGACATGAAAGAAATGGGTTTGTATGCCATAGACCTTGCACACAGGAAGACGGGGCCTTCCCATTGAGATGAGCAGATAAAACAGGTTTAGCTACCCACCTGGTAACCCCAAGTCTGCTGAGTGGTCCCAGAGAATTACAGGAGTAGCATTACTATTTTTTTTTTTCAAACAAGTTAATTGATCCTTCCTTAAGCTTTGAAGACTTGAGCTGAGTTTAGGAAAAGAGGCTGTATGAAATCTTAGTGTCACATCCCTGCATTTTCAGACCGCAGTTGTTTGGTAGAAATAGAAAACATCCCAAGAAATAGAAAATGTAACATTACAATTTCTCCAGTTGTACAGGCTCCCTGCTTTGCCAAAAGTCAGCATGCTCGCCCCCGTCCATTCCCTTACAGTACAAAACTATGTCCTGTGCATGTAGACATTGCCTTTTCTTTGCTACAAATCACAAGTCACATACCTATATCTGTATTTTCTTCTGTTCACTTCTAGTTGCCTTGCTGCCTTTTCTCCTGGACTTAGAAGAACTGGATATCTCCTGGAATGATTTTGTAGGTGGAACCCTCCATTCCATCACTCAGCAAATGCATCTGGTCAGCAAATTAAAAATCCTGAGGCTGGGTAGCTGCAGACTTACCACTGACGACATTCGAGCACTGGGTATGATGAATGCTTTTCTTTTTTGTTTTATTTAATTTATTTTTTGAGACAGAGTCTGGCTCTGTTGCCCAGGCTGGAATGCAGTGGTGCAGTCTCAGCTCACTGCAACCTCCTCCTCCCAGGTCAAGCGATTCTCCTGCCTCAGCCTCCTGAGTAGCTGGGATTACTGCGCCCAGTTCATTTTTGTATTTTTAGTAGCGATGGGGTTTCATCATGTTGGCCAGGCTGATCTCGAACTCCTGACCTTGTGATCTGCCCACCTTGGCCTCCCAAAGTGCCGGGATTACAGGCGTGAGCCACCACGTCTGGACAATAAATCAGTTTCTTAAAAGATTAATTCTGCTGGGCACAGTGGCTCATGCCTGTAATCCTAGCACTTTGGGAGGCCAAGGCAGGCAGATTGCCCGAGCTTAGGAGTTTGAGACCAGCCTGGTCAACATGTGAAAGCCTGTTTCTATGAAAATACAAAAAATTAGTTGGGTGTGGTGGTGGGTGCCTGTAGTCCCAGCTACTCAGGAGGCTGAGGCAGGAGAATTGCTTGAACCTGAAATGTGGAGGTTGCAGTGAGCAGAGATCAGGCCACTGCACTCCAGCCTGGGTGACAGAGCGAGACTCTGTTGTCTCAAAAAAAAAAAAAAAAAAAAAGATGGATTCATTCAATGCACATTTGCAAGCTGAATCCTCAAGGGCAAACTATCTCTGTTGCCTACTCCATTGGTGATTCTGGTCAAGGGCATTATACATGACACAGTGCACTTGTATAACTGCTAAAAAGCTATGTAAGCCTGTGTCTAGGTCTGTGCTGAGCTCTGTAGATACAGAAAAGAACAAGGCTGTCCAGGTCCCTGCCTTCATGGAGTTTATTTATTTATTTATTTTTACTTTTATTTTTTTGATCCCGAGTCTCACTCTGTTGCCCAGGCTGGAGTACGGTGGTACAATCTTGGCTCATTACAACCTCCGCCTCCTGAGTTCAAGCAAGTCTCCTGCCTCAGCCTCCCAAGTAGCTGGGATTACAGGCGTGTGCCACTATACCCAGCTAATTTTTGTATTTTTAGTAGAGACAGAGTTTCACCATGTTGGCCAGGCTGGTCTTGAACTCCTGACCTCAGGTGCTCTGCCCACCTTGGCCTCCCAAAGTGCTAGGATTACAGGCGTGAGCCACTGCGCCGGGCCTCATGGAGTTGAAATGGAGGTTATTGTAAAACATGCTCACACTGGGTCTCAGTTACTGCATGTGTAAAATAAAGGAGTTACAGTAGACAAGAATTAAGTTCTTTATAATTCCAAAATAATACTTCTCCCTTCTATTTTCCCACTCCGATTTGAAAAATTAAACAAGGGGCCGGGCGCGGTGGCTCACGCCTGTAATCCCAGCACTTTGGGAGGCCAAGGCGGGTGGATCACGAGGTCAAGAGATCGAGACCATCCTGGTCAACATGGTGAAACCCCGTCTCTACTAAAAATACAAAAAATTAGCTGGGCATGGTGG